ATTAAGGGGATTTGTTCTGTGAAGTTTGGATTCAGTCAAAGGGCTGCACTTGAGGACCTAGAGGCCACATGTGGCCTTGAGGCTGAAGGTTCCCCACTCCTGGTAAATCCCAGAGTTCCTTCTTCTCATTGCTCTGTGTTCGTGGAGTTAAATGAACTAATGTCTGAACAGTACTTTGCATGCCACATAGATTTAGAAAAAATTTAACTTGCTATGTTTGCTATTTTTGAAAGGGTGGGACTTCTTAGTCCCTCTGTTAAAATTTTGACAGAGCTTTGGTCTCCTGGTTGAAAGAGAAGGGGCTGAAGTCAGAACACGAGAATACTGGCAAAAATGCTAGGGTGCCCTTCTTCCCCTGTTACTTTATTACAAAGTGCCTGGGATTCTGCCAGAGTACAGGGTTTCCCCCTTGTTTCCCAGAATGGATTAGTGAGTTTACAGGAGAAGACATGACAGAGGCATCTAGTTCCTAGCAAAGTATGTGAATTCTTAGTGATTCATGTTTTACTATAAGAGACACAAGGCATGCTCTTACCATTCAAGCACAAACAACCAAAAAATACCACCCAAGATGCTGGAGGAGAGGGACAGAATCCAAGGCGGAAAGACTCTCCTATCTTTAAAAATACATACATACATACATACATACATACACACATACATACATATATATATACACACACACGCATATATATATACACATATATATGTATTTATATATAAAATATATATGCATATATACATATTTATATATATAATATATATGCATATATATATATAATATATATGCATATATGTGTATATAAATTCAAAGAGTAGTTTCTGAAATTTTCCCTGGGGAAGAGTGAGGGGGAAAGACTGCTGTTGTATGGCAATGCGTTCAAGAATGACAGAAGCATATGAGGTTCTGTAGCGAGCTCACTGTCACTGGAGGTGTTCAAATAGAGGCCAGAGAGACACTTGTAAGGGATGTTGTAGAAAGACTTCATGTGGTAGGCAGGGGTTGGCCTGGATGGCCTCATAGACTACTTCTAGTTCTAGGATTGATTCTCTTGAAAAACATTTTAAGTCAGTCAACAAGCATTTATAAAGTACCCACCACATGCCAGGCACCATACTAAGTTCTGGGGATACAAAGAAAGGCCAAGAAAAAAAAAACCCTCTGCTTTCAGTGAGCTTACTACTTAATGGGAGAAGATAGCATACAAATAACTATGAACAAATAAGATATGTAAAGGATCTAATGTAGATAATCAGCTGAGAGAAGGTACTAACATTAAGGGGGAACAGGAAAGATTTCTTGTAGAAGAGGAGATTTTAGCTGGAACTTGAAAAAAAACCCAACAAATGCATCTGTTGACTTGGTGTAAATATAAACTACTTTTGGTAATTCTGGATTCCTTGCTGAACTTGGACAATTCTAACCAACTTGATTTTGTGCGCTCTGCATAACACTCCAGTTCCTAATGACCCAACTGCAGAACCTGTTTATATGGTCAGGCATCATGTGGTTTTACTCTGGCCCTAGGAGGCTGTCTGTGCTAATTATGTGATGGGTTTGGGCTCACTGCATGCCAAATTTAGGTCCAAGTGCTACTCTTTACAGTGTTATCACCCCTAGATAAACAGAGTCTAAACACTCCGGGATTTTTGTCCCTTCATCCATTACCCCGAAACAGCTGTTACTTTACACCACCCAAAGGAAGATGGAAAATATGACTGGGATGTGAAAAAAAAACCCATGGTGGGAGTCTGAAGACCTTAGACCAGGGGGTGAGATGGTGCAGGGATACAGTAGGTTAGGTTCTGTGGCTTTCTGTAAGAAGCCGTTCAGTGGCTAAGCCCCAACCACCAGGTAACTGCAATCAGACGAGTTGCAGATTGCAGGTGGTACTCCATTAATAAATATCCAGTGGAAAATACTGTGCACTTATTAAAAAAAAACTGGAAGGGAAGTAAAGGTTCATTGGCACCATGAAACCCATTTTGATGTGCCATTAAATTTCTGTATTACACAAGTGTATTACAGGGTTTGTTTTGAATTTTGAATTTTTTTTAATAGAGTTAGAAACTGCCAAGATCTCTTACTTTAGAAGCAGCCCAGCCCAGTAGGTAAAGAAACAGACTTTTGAATAAGAGTTTGAGTTCTACTCTGATAGATTCCCAAGCAAATAATTTAAACTCTGTGCATATCTGTTCTCTTATTTTAAATGAAGCAAGAGGGGACTTAGCATCTAGATTCTTTTCCAAATTAAGTGAGGAACAACTAATAAAAATAGCGTGTGCCTCTCTCCCTTCTTTGAAGAAGTGGAGATCTATGGGTGTGGACACTATATATGTTAGCCTCCACGAACCTGTTGGTTAATTTTGCTTAACTGCTTTATTTGCTCTTTCCTGTTTATTCTTTGTTACAAAAAATGTCTCTTTGGGAAGGGGGGAAGAATATATTTAGAAATGAAGGTATATGAACACAAAAGATATCAATACTATTTGAAAAAATAAATGGGTAAATACATACATGATTATAAGTAAATGAAGAAAGACATACAAAAGAACCCTAGCATACAGTTTGCATGCCTCAGATTTTAAGTGCTCGATACACTTGAGCCTTCTGGGTGGATAAAGTGAAATATGGTAAGAAATAGCTTAAAATAATTTGCAATGGCTCTTCCCTCATTCCTAATCTCCACTCTGAAAGAACAGCCCTTAGAATAAAAAAACAATATACTTAAATTGTATTTTATCCTAAAAACCAAATTGTTTAAATGCTGAATTATTAGAGCTATAGATTCAGAAGCTGAGTCCTTTTCCTAGCTACACTTAAGTAATGTGCTGTCAATATTTGTTGTTGTCTTTACCAGTGATTTCATCTGTACAGGGAATTCCCAATGTGGAAAGCCCCCTTTTCAAGGCAGCTGGCAGAACCTTTGTAGCTTCTTGTCTTACAAAGCTTCATGGAGGATACTATGATCAGCATGGCGCAGGTTGACACTTCTCTGTAACTCCTATCAGAGTTACACTCTGCCACACTGTGAGAGTCTTGCCCATGGTCACAGGGCTAGCATGTGTTAAAAGTAAGACTTGAATCCAGGTCTTCCCAACACCAATGCCTATCCTTTAACTGGTATACCATACTGTCTTTTGTGATCTTCATGATCATTATTTAAAACAACCCAAAGACTATAGCAAGCACCTATTGGTAAACAGTACTGTTCTAGGACCAAAGGATGAAAGTTACAGGGAGGTTGACTTTAGCTAAGCATAAGAAAGAATGTTTTAAGAATTAGAGCTCTCTGAAAAACAGAAGAGATTGTTTTGTGTAGTAGTGATTTCCCATTACGGAAGGGTTCAATCATTGGCTGGCTGGGAGGTTGTTAAAGATGATGCCAGAGACAAGAGATTGCACTGCTTGTGAGTTTAGAATGGATGACACCAAATTCTTGACTCTAAGAGTTTGTGATGCTAGGTGTCATACAGAGTGAATCAGAATGGTCTCCTGCTTCTAGCCAACATACATACTCTATGGCTGCCTTCTTTCTCCTAACTACAAGATTAGGATAATCAGATTTTCTCCCTACCTCCCAGGTTGGTAATGAGTTGATGGGCTCATATCAGTGAAGCAGAGACACTCAGAGGATCAGAGGCAAGCCCAAGTAAACAGATCTTAGAGCAAAAAAAAAAAAAAAGATCAAGTTAAGCTAAATAAATATAAAGCCTGTATCACAGCCTATATTCAAAACACGTGAAATGTTCAAAAGCCCAAGCTATGCAGAGGAATTCTTTGATAGCAAAGAAGGAAGCTGCCCACTGACCCTACTTTTCACCAAACCCAATAAATTTTCCATACTGCCCCTCATCTTGAAAAGCCAAATATACATCACAACAGGGGAGAGAGAGCTGGAGCTTGGGTATCAGAGGACTTTCTAGCTTGACTCCCGATTTGCTGTGTGACCTTGAGCAAGTTGCTTAACCTCTCTCTGTTTCAGTTTTTCCATTCTTCAAATTCAGTTGATAATTCATGCAACCCAAATTGTTGCATAGAAGTTACCGACTACTACAGATGGTGATTCTGATTGTCCTGAAGCACAGAGAGGCTTTAACCAAATTAATCCACTCGAGGTGAAGAGACAGACACTTCTTTAACCAGCTGCTCTTTTAGAATAGCCACTTCTTAGGGAAAGTGTGGGATAGCTCCTCTTACCATATTCCACCGAGGACCCCGAAATATTCCCCGTGTTGAATGCCTTGGGGAAGCCTTGTTACTACAGTGTAAGCTACCCATCCAAGTGCAGTTGGGGCCTTTGAGATCTTTAGAGTGCCTAAGTGCTTTGCCTAGAGACTGGAATCGGGGAATCCCTATATTGTGCCCCCAAACAAGGAAAAACCCTGTTTTCTAGAGCAGGGGCAGTCTGCGGAACTTGGAAAAGGGGTTGTGCGAAGCTAAAGGAGGCTATTGCTAGCACGTTGACAGATGGCGCTCTTACCAACTTCACCCCACAGCAGACCTGTGAAGTTAGACGGGGAAAGATTCCGTGTCTGTCTGGAGAGGACTTAGGGTGACAGAGAAAACTTCTCTGTGAGGTGGCTTTGCTACTTTCTTTCTGGTCAGTGAGGCTAGAATACCCCTGCTTGTCCAATCCCCACCCAGATTAGCCCACCTGGCCAGCTCCACCCCAGCGGGACATTTTGGCAATGCTAAACCAATTTGCTCATGAGATGACCAACCGTCTTGGCCAAGGTGGGGTTCTTCGAGATGCTGAATAATAATATTCCCCACCATCCCACCCCCTCCTCTAGGCGTAGAAGCAGAGGCTTCAAGATGAAATGCCCAGGTGCTTCTAACACACCAGGGGTCCTAGGAGCCCCGGAAAGATTCTCTTAAACCATTATCTCCAAGAGTGGGAAGAATGACACCAAGTCGATCTAGAAAGAGGGAGTTTTGACAAGTTCTTAGGAAGTCCGGGAAGGAGAGAGTGGGAATGGGAATCAAATCAGCTTACCCAGCTTGGGTTTGAAACTGCGGACGGTGTTGCCGTCTCCCGGCCGGTTGCCCTCGCGGTTGTATTTCTCATAGAGCTTAAGCATGTGGACAGCTACCATGTCCCAGGCGCTGGCGCCCAGGGCCGCAGATACGTCCTCTAGGCGCTCACTGCCCGCTGCAGCAGAGCTGGAAGAGGCCGAGGCGGAGGAAAAGGCAGCGGGAGCCCCACTGAACAAGAAGTCGTAGGCAGCCCGGGGGCAATCCGACCACTCCGGTTGTGTGGCTGCCGCTCGCTCTCTCCTGCACCAGCAGCAGCAGTAGCCGCGGCATCAGCAGCAGCCCGGCCCGAGCGCGGCGCCAGGCCATTTGGAGAGCCCGGGAGGGAGGGAGGGAGGAAAGCGGGAGGGCGGCCTGGGCTCGGGGTGGCACTTAGGGAGTGGTTGCAGCAGCTGCTGCTGCTGCCGCCGCCGCCGCCGCTCTATAGCTGCTGCTGCTATAGCTGCTGCGGCTGCAGCAGTTGGGAGCAGAGCAGTCACCGCCCCACCCACCCCGGGTCTGGAGCGGCAGCTGGCAGCCTGGGCGCTGAGACTCAGCTCCTGGGACACCCGCTTGGGCTCGGCTCTCCTGTTTCCCCGCTCTCTGGCTGCGCCGCTCGCCTTTTGCACCGGTGAAGGGTAGCGGGGCTACGGCCCTGGGAGAACAGTTGCTGGGGGGGGTGGGGATGGGGGTAGGAGCTGGAGTGGGGAAGGCTAGCCAACCAATCACCTTGCCTGCGAGGTGAGAAGTGCTGGCACTTGGAGGGGGGGAGCCAGTAGGGGGAGGGGGAGAGGGGGAGCCAGGCGTTCCTTCCGCTCTCCTTCGCGGCTCAGGATGGACCAAGGAGCTTGCCTGCCTTCTTGCCTGCCTGCCTGCCTGCTGAGGGGCTAACGGATCCCACGGGCAGCCCGAGGAAACTTTGCAGATGAACTGTTACTAGTCGGTTTTGTTGGGGCAGGGGAGGCGGGGAGGAGCGCATCCCCCTCCCTCTCCAGCCTCCATTTGGTAGGGGAATAAAGCTCTCGCTCTCAGCGAATGACATCTAAATCTTTACAAGCACTGGGGCACAGGTCAGCCCAGCAGTGGTCTTAAAGAAAAGTGACTTGTACTTTCTGGAGAGCTGTGTGTTCTGTGTCTATGTGTGCGTTTCTGTGAGAGTGCCTTGGCTGGAGATCCTCTAAGCTGCGTGGTTGTACTGTTAGCGTGTGTCCTGCATGATTATGTTTGCCCTTCATGTACATGGGAGGTGACATGGATTTCCTGGCTGGTGTCTTTAAGAGTGCAAGACGACAGTTTGCATTCTAGCAGCTGAGAGCCTGGGTAAGCCGGAGATGGGGGCTGCCCTTTGGAAATGCCAACGTCTTAGGGCTGCAATCACCAAAATTATATCCTTTGGAATCATTCTTAATACGTGTTTTTAAAAGGCACAACTAATGCGTGGGATACTACAAGAACCTGTTTAAAATGCAAAATTAATTAGTGTGGTTGAATTCTGGCAGGATTCTATTTTAGTAAGAGTGATTCCAGAGGTTGGAGCAAAGGCATTTATTAATTCTGGAACTTTTTAAGCAGCAAGACTACAAGGAAAGGAGGGGCTTTTAGCTCATTTTAACAAGTGATTCTAAAATATTAGTTGATCTAAGCATTCAGAGAGTTGGATGACTCTCAAGAAAACAATTAGCTACATTTTTGGAGGAATGTTTAACATGTTTAAAAATAGAATGCATATTCCTTGGCTTCCTATTAAAAGCAAGACCTGACTAACAGTAGTTCTAGGCAGTTCTGCACCTCATGTCACATCGAATGCGAATGACCACAGCTTAAGAATGACAGTAGACATCCTTAGAAGGGTGGTTTGCAAAAGGTAAGGAAGACAAAATATTATATTTAATAATTTAATATGTGATAATATAATAAATAAATTAAAATAATTTAAAATAAAATAATATTATAAATAAATAAAATAATATTTAATAATATTATAAAATAAATCTGTTTGCATACTTCCGAACATACTGTTCCAGTTACTTTGTCTGCTGTGTCTCAGTCAGCGCAGTTACTTTTCTTGGAGAGAACACAATGCAATAATTAAAAAATTGCTGGAAAAAGCTACTGTTGGTGTGTAACACAACCCTTTTGTGATTTTGTTTTAAACCTTGAGATGTCAAATTGGAGTCAATACTATTCAGAACTTCTGAACCTTTCCTCTCTTTGCAAGATTCCAAGAGCTACAAATGTCTTATTCATTTGGAGAATTAGCTCATGCCACAGTTTACTCCCCTCGATACAGCTAACATATTATAGATTCAATTTCCAGAAGCAAATTTGCTGAAAAAATCAATAATAAAGTAGCAGCCATCGAATTAATTAATCTTTCCTTATAAATAATCCAGACCATCTTTTGATGCTCCCCTTCTTTCCCTCTCCACCCCCCCCCCATGCTTATGACCTCCGCTGGGGGCGGGAGCTAACCTCTTGTTATTTGTGGGTTTTTGTCTGCACTGTTTCTATACAATCAAGGTCCTGTGAAAAGGAGGACGAGTCTGCAGGAGGTAGAAACAAGCTGGGCTATTCTAGACCAGTGTCCCATTAAAATGTTCTCTCTCTCTCTTTAACTCATTCCCAACTTCCATTCAAACAAATGCCTCTGTATTTGTCTTAAACCTACACTGAAGCCTGTAGGACACTGATACTTTGATGTTGTTAGTAAAGAATTAGGAAATCAACTACTGATGGCTAATATTTCTCACCTTATTTTATTGCAGAGCAGCAGGCTTGAAAAGTCTTAAAAGCCATAATACTTTGACCTGTTTCGAGTGAAGATGAACTCAAAATGAGCTTGGTAAAGGAATGCAAATTAACCCCAGATCACATCACTTCTCTGTTCAGAATACGACCGATCAATGGAATGGCTAAGGTTCTCCACAAGTGTTTGTTAAGTACTTTCTGCTCATGCAGAATAATATTCCTAAGCATGGAAATTTCTGCTAATTAAAAGCCTTGCCAAGTGAAGAGGGATTTTATTTTTAATAGTGCAGTTACAGTTAAGCATTTAGATGGGGCACCGTGGGCTTCAGATTTGAAACTACACATCTAAAGTTTCCAGCTTCTTCCTGTTCAGATCATCATTGCCCCAGTATGGCACAAATAGTGTCACACACCATTAATAATGAGGTTGGCCCAGTTCTGTGCCTTTTGGAGGCTGGGCTGTTATAAACCTATGGAGGGACAGCCTCCTGCAGGGTTATGAGGAGGGAGGGTGGGTAGAGGAGAATTATTCTCCGGCCTCTCCTTTCTGGGAATTGGAACAGCTCTGTGGCTATCACTCTCCCTAAACCCTGGGGGCAACAAAGACCAAGTAAGTTCAACAAAATACTCCCCTGGGAGCAGTCATGGGACTAACTGACCACTGTCTTGGTTTCCAAAGCACTTTTCCATAGCTATGTTCACTTGGAGACTCAACAATGGCGGGGCTTGGTTAGCTCTGCCAAACAGATGGTGTAATCAGCTAAAGAAAATTCAGTCTATTGGTTATGCAGCATCCTGTAGACACATGTGTCATCAATAACGACAACAACAACAAAACTACTAACCTAAAGTACTTCAAATGTTTGTTTCTTATCCTGATAGAGTCAGAGTCCAGTTTTGAACTTGACTTCGCCACTTGCTATCTGAGATCTTGGCCAAATCATTCTCTGGGACCCAGTTTTCTCATCAGTTAAATGAGACAATTGGACAAGATAATTTATAAGGACCTTTCTAGTGCGGGCATTCTGTGAGTCAGTCTAATTGCGTCCTGTAGACATCATCTTGGAGATACAGAGGAAATATCAGCTGTAGATTGGCTGCTAAACATAGGCCTGCTCTGAGGTGGGATCTAGGAGAGGATACTGAGGAGTTCCCTTGCCCCAGTAGACTCTTTCCTCCATTATTTCTTCTTTCCTCCTCTTCCTACCTCCCTGCCATCCACCACATGCACTTAAAGAACACACATTACCTAGTGCACAGGGAGAAATGAGCAGATTATATCTGCAAAGGAAAGAAAATATTTTCTTGGTTAAGAAGTCCCAGACCCTTACAAAAGAGTCATTGTGATCCCTTCATATGTGTGAGCATAACACAAAAGATGATTACAGACACTGTTTCACATCTTTAAAAAAAAACACCTTTTGCTTTGAGGACTTTAAAGTGCTTTACTCCTAAAAAAAGGAAGGGTTATAGCCCACTCCTCCCTTTAGGATATATGACTTGGATGAAGAAAGAGGCACAGAGATTTTAAATGATTTGACCAAGATCATGAAGTTGTGGAGCCAAGAATACAAGGGCTTTTTTTTTTCCAAGTTCTCTCTTCTAACCATTAGACCATAGTATAATAAATCAGAGTAAAAACAAGCATAAATAACATTATAATACATGACGTATCTCTTCTGCTCTGGTGAAATATATACATACAATACACACATAAATATATATTTAATCTTTTACAAGCTATAGGAAAAGTGAAATAATGATCTACTTTGTTGTTTTATCAATTCACACACCCCCTTTTTAAAGCCAATAGAAGTGCAGATTGTAAAAGTCAAATGCTCCAGACTTGATAAAATGGAAAATATTCCTTTGATTAGCCTTGAATCCACATCTCTCCCCAAAGGACAGAGGAAGCCATTTGTATTGGGCCAAATTACCAGGGACATGGGAATAAAACAAGATTATAGCACATTGTCTCCCACTGTAATTTGAGTCTGCCTGGACTTGGTTTGATGAAATAAAGTGCATTCTAAATAAACACTAGAATCAGTACTATTTCCCATTAAAACTTAACTGCGGTACTATTTAGAACTCTTCCCATGAATCCAGCTCTATGGGGAATGACAGTCCAAGTGGAATTTAGGAAACAAGGTGGGGGAGCAGGGTGGTAAATAAAAGAAGAATGATTTTAATCCAGGAAAAATGATGGGAAAGGAGGGTGCCATTTGCTAATGGCACTACTGTACTATTCTCTTAGCTAAGATAGTCCCATTCTCTAGATGGATCTCAGCTTCCATTGAAAAGCATGTCACTGAAGGGGCAAGGCATGGAGGAGGAGGAAGAAAAGGTATAAAGAAAAACCCAACAACTGACATGATGCTTTCACATCTCTCTTATGAGTTACATAATGAGAGATGAGGGATGTGAATGTATGTTGCTTATAGCAAAACATTAAAGACGAATCTCTATGCGGTAACTACTCCAATTTTATTCAGATCACTCATGCATTTGGATAGCAGAGGGGCAGCGTAGCATGGTGTCTGAAATATTAGACCTGGAGTCAGAAAGAAGTGGGTTCAAGTATGCCTCTGAATCTCTGGTAAGAGTACGACTCTGGTCAAGTCACTTAAAGTTGCTAGATCTCAGTTTCCTCATATGTAGAATAAGGTAAATAACACTAGTGGCACACAGACGGCGTAGAGGAAGGCAGTAGTGAGGGGTAGGACCGCAGAGGGAGGGCATGGGGGCGGCGGCCGCCGCTACCGCCGCCTGAACCGAACACCTCTCCACCGATTTCCCCGCCTGGCGACGCGCCGTCGCTGCCTTCCATCTGCTGCCATGAGCGAACGCCTCCGCCCCAGGAAAAGGAGAAGGAATGGGAACGAAGAAGACAGTCATCTCCCCCAGACCAAACGGAGTAGCAGAAACCCTGCCTTTCAGGACTCCTGGGATATAGAGACAGCACCCGTAACGAAAAACAGTACAGAAAACAGACTAAGAGGAAACAAAGTGTTCTGTGCGTCTTCAAGCAGTGACAGCGGTGGTAGCAGCGGCAGCAGTAGTACCAGCAGCAGCATCAATAGCCCAGACCATTCAAACTTGTGAGGCTCAAATAGAAATTACTTTTGCAAATCATAAAGTGCTGTAAATATCAGTTATTGTTGTAATGACAATAG